TTCCAACAGCACTTGCAGGTCGCCACACAAAGCTTAGGCTTAGACAAATTGGAAGACTCCAGCGAGGACACCCATGACTTCAGGGAGAACAGTGATCCGCGTAGAAGTGCGGCATTCACTTAGGCCAGCGAAGCCAGCGCGTAGGTGCAAGCCAACAAGCGGCCGAACAGCCATCCCATCCAGCTTGTCTTTTTAAACCCGGAGTAGGGAAATTTCTCTCTTGGTCTGTCATCGTCCTTGCCGTCTCCGTTTTCCTCTTACTGAATGTCCACATGTATCTTTTCACTTCCTCTTCTTGTAAAGGCGTAAACGCGCTTCCCTGGTAGGCTTGACAGCTCCTCCTTGCGCCTTGCCTAACAGGTTTTAAAGCGTTGCTCCCGCACATAAAGGTCTGTACGGCACGGTCGGGAGACCAATGTTCACAGGACAGACCCGTATTCATGAACTCCTGGCTTTCGGGTTTCGACCCAGTTCGTCCGCCATTTGTCATGTGCTGCAAGTTCCAAGAAGTTTGCCAACAAGGACGAGATGGCCATTTCCAGCTGGACTGCTGAATCTTCTAAGTCCCCTTACCGCAGTCTAACCATGAGGAAGCACTGCATCAACCAATTACTTTAAGTGAGATGGTGCTGGAATCACAGCGAACCTGGCGCAACGCATTAAACTTACTCTTCTCCGTTCCAGTCTTCTAGTCTCGCAACTCCCGGCCAGGGCAATGCTGGCCTTGAACGATTTGTTGCATGCTCTTCTGTAGTGTTTATGGTGAAGACTAGTGGGGATTGCAGCGCAGTTGCCACCGGCAAGCTCGAGGATGTCCAGAGCCACCAAACAAGCAACCAACTTCGCGGTCCCGCAGCTAGCTATGCCGCCTTGATCAAGTAAGTCCTGAACCAACATCGCTTGGCAGCACCACCTCTGACCAAGAACCCAAAGCATGCATAGACCGTAAACAGTATGTCTCCAGACTTACAACATCAAGGGCTATGCCTAAGTGGTTTATTCAGTACTGCATGGAGGCACCTTTCAACTAGGTGTGACAAAACTATGTTTGCTCTGAGAAAATGCTGGCTCGCTACTGCAGCCCCCAAGACCTTGAAGAGAGCTCTTATCAATACTCCTCTTAAGAGCGAGACCTTTGCTAAACAATTCGGGCAAACACAGACAACAATGTTCCCCTTTGGTTCAAGCCATGCGCCTGAAAGGGTACCCGTTATTTTGGGATGCAGTATGCCCTACACCCTAAATCCTAAACTCTGAGGATATCTGCTGGTGTACTCTGAAACCACGAAGCCTGACCTTGGTGGTGAGTTCTGGTGCTTGCAGTTGAAGCACCTCCAGAAAAGCCTATTCCTGTACGTGGCTGGGCTGTGGGTCTAGGGTTTTGGGGCTATACGGTTTTGGGGAGGTAGGGACAATGGAAAAGAACATGGAAACTACCATATAAGTCATGGTCTAAACTCCTAGTATCCCCGTTAAGAACCCCTATAATGCTCCCTTAAAAATGACTTTAAGGAGTTTAGACCTGCAGGCTTCAGCTGGCAAACTGTTGCGTGTCTGTTAGACTGTCCAAGGTGATTTTGATGACCAGCGTGCTGCTGGAGAGGCTAGAAACCTTGGCAGAGCTGCGCGGGTCAGTGGCACCTCAAGCCATGTCCAATGTCCAATGACCAGGTCTGATTCTTTGGGGCCTCCGGTCATCGCCGCTTGCAGCGGTGCAGCCGGGCTGCAATCATGCGATCTCTGGTGGGGAGCCTGACTTCCAATGCTGCAAGGTCGGGCTGCTTCAGCAGTATCTTCAGTTCAAGCGGAAGTATCGGTGGCGATGCCTTCCCTTCGAGGCACTCAGCTTCAGAGCCTAAGAACTGATTCTGAGTAAATGAGATCTGCCCTTGCACAGGACCTTGTGCATGTGAACGATGATGGCGAGATCTTGCGAAATGAGTATCAACAGCCGGAGCTCCGCGAAGAAACCTGAAGCACTTGGAGGACTCTTTCGAGGTCTCTTGGTCTCCTTGACAGATGATGCACCAAAGACCGGAAGGAGCTTCTGAGGGGCCTAGGACCATAAGACCGTATCTTGGACCTGGATCACAGGCTTTCACAGGCTTTTGGGTGGCTTCGGGCCAGGATGGGAAAGCCTTGCTGGCGGCGAGACCACGACCTACCGAGCTACAGCTCCAACACCCCAGCAGCACTTTGAGCAGACGGCTGACGGCTGGAGATGGAGGGCCATTGAAGTAGCCTTGGACGGTGCTGTCTACACCAAGCAGGGTACACTTTGTTGACTCGGAACGGAGCCACCAGCTCCAGCTGCTGGAGCTGCGCATGAACAGAAGGGATCAAGGGAGGTTTGGTTAGTGTACATAGACACGTCTTTGCTGAAGCAAGGGCTGGCATGGGTATGGTGTCTGCTTGAGACGACCTACACTACAGCTTGCATTGATTCTTACATCTATGGCTGTTGGGAGTCTAGGTAGAGCCAGGGTCCCAGGAAGGGGTCAACCTTGCTGCTGTACCTTACTGAAACTGTGAAAGAAAAGTTCGATCTTGCAGCTGCTTGCATTGCAATTGCGGACATGGCAGGCCCAGAGCTGAAGAGGGCAGATGCACCGTTGATTTTGAAGATTGTCCAAGTCATTTGTGCAGGATGCAGCATCTCCTCTGCTGGATGCTCAGCCAGAGCTGCTTTCGTCAGGCAGTTGCGGAAGCTGGAACGCATTCCATCAAGGCCAGCGCCCTCCGTGCCTTCAGTGCCCTCCGTGCCCTCTGTGCCTTCAGTGCCATTGGCGAGAAGCCGCTCAACGCCCTCCGCCCTTGTGGGGAGTCCCAGGCTTGCCCAGCATGGTGTGCGTCTGCCGACATCCGGAAAGCAGTCATAGGATGTCAGCGCTGCGTTTTCCTATAGTTCTTGCTCAAGATCATGGGCTAGCATTGCAGCGGTGCTGACACTTCGAATGGCGGCCTTCAAATGCCTCGTGGATGCGAACAACAAATCTACAGAGCTGCCCCTTCTGCGCATTGGCGGTAGTGTCCGTGAAAATCCGCACATGCGGGCTTTTTGGGCCAGTACCGCCTCCTTCTTCCTTGCGTTCTTGGGATGGTTTGCTTTATCGCCTCTTAGTCTGGAGGTTGCCTCAAGCATGGGCATTTGCGAGAATCAGCTTTATCCGCCTGCAAGCATGCCGCAAAGACCAGCGTACCTCGCCTTCAAGAACCTGCAGACCGATTTGCACTACTGCCAATATGGCGTCCAGAAGGCATATGAAAAGGCTATCGACTGCCAAGACGTGCCAGCAGAAGTTCGGTCATTTGGTGATGCTGAGTCGCAGCGAAAGTATCGGCCAGAAGTCCTTTCCGAGTGCGTTTGCACACCTGGCACTGAATGCCAGAGCGTGATTGCAACTGCAGGGGTGGCCGCAGTGGCCTCGACCATTTTCGTGAGAGTGGCCTTAGGCACTCTTCTCGAACGATTCGGGCCAGTGCAGGTGCAGTCAGGTTTGCTGACCTTCGGAGCTCTGTGGGTGGCCTCAGCAACAGCCATCACGGCGCCATGGAATTACACCTTGATCCGCTTTTTCATTGGTTGTGCAGGACTCCTCGCGCTTCATTCAAGTCTCTTCAGAACCAAACTCATTGAGCGCTTCACCAAAATTAGTTGGCAACGGAGCAATCAACTGGCCATGCAATAGACAAGCTCACATAGGTACAGTGCAGCACAGTGTTCACAAAGCAGCGCTTGCATTGCCGCAGCAAGTTCTGTCAGTTACGCATCCCAACAGGTGTTTCTGGACAGCTCCTCCACGGTGGGGTCTTAGCAGAAGACATCCATACAAAACAGACAAGTTATCACCGGCGGTTGAGTCTCATATGGCTGGATAGATTGCAATCCTGGTTTCCGAGTTGATCATAACTTCCTGCAGCCACCAACACCAATAAGCAAACGTGACGGGGAAGAAATTTAGATATCAAAGCCAACTTGGTAATCCCTCGATTGTTGCTGTTCCCTTCACAAGAGGAGCTACTTTCGTGACAAACCAGTTTTGGTGCTCTTTGATGTTTGCGCCAAATGTGGTGGGCACTGCAAATGCGACGGCAGCTGGATGGGGCAACTTGGGTGGCGGCGTGACGCAGGTTGTTAACAAAATTCATTTCACTGGTTAACAATCTCACGCGGTCAGATTCTTTGTTCCCGAAGGTCTTCATGACATCAGTACTGTTCAACCCGATGGTGAATGCGGGCTTAGATCCTAATGTTGCCTGGCGAGTTGCGGTGCCTTGGATGCATCTGTCTGTAAGCGTTTTTGTTTGGTGTTGAAAGTATAGGTTGGTTGGGTAGGACTTCTTTCGACCTTGAACATGCCCATGTTGTAAATGCAGCTTGGGCCCGCGACTCCCCATGGTTCAGCTGCATTTATCTTTCTTTGCGTGATGGAGGAGCGCTTGACTGACTTTGCTTGATTCGTGGGGAGCGGGGTCTTAGCTTGGCTGGATGGCTTGGATATTGACACGGCTTCCAATGTGCAGTTCTACATTCTACTGGGGCGATTGCAATGAGTGTCTTCGTGAGCTGGGTAGTCACCCTGAAATCCTGCGGGAGGATAGTCTTCTGGCTATGCAGACGTTTTACAGTATGTGCATTACGCGAGCTGGTGTTCATCGGACAGCTGTTTTGCCTCGCATACTGGAGGAGAGAACAGCTTCAGATTGTCCCCCTCCGATCTTATCGACTTGGGGCGCAGGGAGAGTCAGCTGGGAAGAAGGCCCGTGTGCTATTGCCGTGGCGCGAGTCATTGCCTCCTGTGGTATGTGTGCAGCAAATTGGGCCCCAGCAAAGCGTCACTCCGCAGCAGGGAAAGTTGCGGGAACTTTTCTTGCTGACGTCGACCTATTTCATTGACCTACCTGTGGATGCTCTCGGGCTTGCAGTTTCTTCTTGGCAGGATGAAAGTGAGGTCGCGGTCGGCAGTTGCGTCCACGTTATGCAGGTGGCTTTATTTTGCCCTAGCGCAGGATATGCTTGTTAGCAACCCTGCCGCTTTTCACCTTGCGGCCTTTCTTCCCTAGGTGGCAGGAGGGGAACCTACGGCTGCAAGTGCTGTTTACCATGTTTCTCGCTGGTGCAGCCTGGGTGCGACCTTTCTACTCGAGCATTTTCGTACGCTGCCATATAGATGCCATCAGCTGGGGCATTCTGAGAAGCAAGCGCCAGAGCTCCAGCCTTGGGAGCTTCTCAACATCTTGGCCGTCACTTAGGACCTGGCTAGAACAACTCAGGTGGTTGGGATTTCATTCCGATCGCTGCAGTCTCCTGTATTCGGCGTCGGCGTGTGCAGCGATCGCATTTTGTGGCGTTGCATGAAGAGCCGCGTCGCTGACTTGAGATGTGCTGCGCGAAGGAAAGTGCCTGTGAAAGTACCTTGCCAAATATCACCTTCAGAATGCCTCGTTTCTGTTTCCGGCCTTGGGCTTGAAGGCGTGCGATCTTTGGCAGCTTACAGAGACCACCCACTTCCTCTCTCAGCGAAAACTGCCAGGCAAACAGTCTCTTGAGCCTTTCCGGAGGTTCCTCTGTAGAGCCATTGCGGATCCGTCTAAGGCGGCCTGTGCTGGCTGCAACAGGTTGCGTCGGTGTTTGCCTTCAGCCGCGCGCGCTCTCTGGCTGCTGGGTGCAGATGCACAGGCGATTCCTTCTTGGATCGAGGTCCTTTGCAGTATTGAGGGTGGTCAGGCTGCCCATCAATCACGTCCACCGCTCATGTTTCAACTGACGCAGTGGCGCGCACGTTCAAGCGGGTAGTTGGTCTAGGGCTGAGGGCTCTTCCCTGTTTAGTCGGGTGTTCTGTGTTGGAAGGATGTCTTTAAACCAGGACAGGCGCTAGATTGCAAGCACCCACCGGTGCAGTCAGTGGGGGACGCCAAATCTTTTTCTTGTGGTTTCTGCGGGGTAGCAAGCAAGTGCTACGTGATCCGTGAGTTGGATGGGTGCAGTAGGCCGGTGCCTTGGTGCAGAGATGCAGCTTTTTCCCAAAACCCACTTGAGAGAGGGGTGCGGGATATCAGTGCAGCAGCTTACCTCTTGATGTCAGGACGCTAATTTGCACACGTGCCAGATCTCTGTGGTTGCGCCCTTGCATCTGGAGTGAGAAATACGTGAGCTGGGCCCCCAGCCTCTCTGCCTTGGACCTTGTGATTGCAGCGAGTGTGTGTGACTGGTCAGCCTGCTGTCCTTTGCATATATGCTCTATAGCTGCGTGCTCTAGCCATTCGCAGGCCCTGCCTCCTCATTCTGCATAGACCCTCGCCTCCATGACTGGGAGCGCTGTTGCTTGCAGTACGGCCGTCTGAGAATTGCGTTGAGTGGATTGTCCTAGAAGACATTGAGGAAGACCTGCCCTGTGATAGCATGGCTGAGTTGATTGTGTTTCTTCATGTGCGTCATGAAAGCTTGAGCGAGCTTGATCTTGAGTTGCGTGACAATCTAGTACTGCCACCGGAGCAAGCGTCTGAACATGTTGATGCGGATGATCTTGAGCGTCAGCTTGAAGAACTTGCAAATACTCCAATGTTGGAGCAGATGCCAAGGAGGCTGAGATGTGCAGCCCCAAGCATATCCCAGACATGGAAGAACCTGCGGATGTCAGAGCACAAGATGCAAGCATCGCTGTGGATGGCGTTGTGTTGACTTTGGCCAGCAGCTTGCAAGCCCTCCAGGCAGCGTGCGCTAAACTTGAGCTCAGGACCTCAGGCAG